GAGAGAGAGAGAGAGAGAGAGAGAGAGAGAGAGAGAGAGAGAGAGAGAGAGAGAGAGAGTGAGAGAGAGAGAGAGAATGAGGGAGAGAGAGATTGCGCGTAAAAGACACTGAGGTATGTGGGATGGCTTCATTAAAGGGGAGCTGCAATATCTAGAAGGTTACTCTTGTGTATTATGTTGTTATTAGTTTATACATGAGAAAGTACTGAGGTATGTGGGATGGTCCCACAAGAGGGGGACTCTTGTGTATTATGTTGTTGTTAGTTTATATATGATGAAGTATTGAGGTATGTGTGATATGGTTTCGTAATATAGAGGGGCTACTCTTGTGTATTATATTGGTGTTTCTTTATATATTAGGTATTCCTGAGGTGTGTGTGGGAGGGTTTAAATACATATAGAGGAGGAACTCCTGTGTAATTGTGTAGGATTTATTAATGTGTGGGTTGTGTACGTTCCTACAGTAAAGCTTGCGTCTAGACTTCTTTTTGCTTCGAATGGGACTTTGAAATTGCACTTGCCACCTCGATCTCCACCACACCCAGCCTATGCCGCAACGAATGGTAGTTGTTATGCAAGCAGGACAATTTGGCGGCAATATTCGCAGAGAGCATGCATTGTACGAACGCCGTCAATGGCCCCCGTCCTTTGTCCGTTTGCTCCGTAAACGGTGGTAGCATTCAGCTGCCGATTGCGCGTTAAAATATCGCCATGTGTGTGTTTTTTTATCGGGTAACACTTGTAGTGCTGACTGCTGAGAGCGGGCACGCGTTCGCGGGGTTAATGACGTCCGTGTACGAGAGCGATGAGATTATACGGGCAGGTGCTGCTGACATGGCCTGCCTGCCTGCCTGTCTGCCTGCCTGCCTCCTACCTGTCTGCCTGCCTGCCTGCCTGCCTGCCTGTCTGCCTGTCTGTATACCTGCCTGGCTGACTGCCTATACCTGCCTGTCTGCCTGCTTGCCTGTCTGCCTGCCTGCCTATACCTGCCTGTCTGCCTGTCAGCCTGCCTGACTGCCTGTCTGCCTGCCTGCTAGAGAGGGGGAGAGCGCGAAAAAGGTGGAGATAGAGAAAGAAGCAGGAGAAAGAGAGACCAGAGAGAGAGAGAGAGAGAGAGAGAGAGAGAGAGGGGGGGTGGAGAGGGGAGGGTGAACTCGCGCGTAAATCTGGGATAGAGCGCCGATTTTCTGGGCCGTGGAGTTGCCGTGGTGATTGCGCGCTGAGTGCAACTGCCTCGGCCATTACGGCATAAATATGCACACGATTCTTTCTTCCTGGTCGCGTCGCAGAAGGAGCCGTTTGTCGCTGAACGGCGTAGTCCGAGCATAGAATTCAGTCCTCCGCTCACACACACGCACGCCTTTGTCGTGGCTGCGTTGTTGTTGTTGGTTAATTTTGAGCTATTTCGTGGCTACTTCAGCGTATGAAATGGCCCGCTCGTTAGAACCGTATACGGATCGGTGCGTGCGTGCGTGCGTGTGTGCGCGTGCGTGCGTGCGTGTGTGCGTGCGTGCGTGCGTGCGTGTGTGTATATATGTACTGTTTGCTCGTTGTCTGTGTGTGTGCGTGCGCACGTGCATGTGTTCGTTTGCGGGTGGGTGTGTGCGTGCGTGCGTGCATGTATGTATGCCTGCACACTTGCGTGCGTGTTTGCCCGCTGTTGGTGTGTGCGTACGAGCCTATGAGTTTGCATGCGTGCGCGCGTGCGTGTGTAGGTGTATGTGTAGGAGTTCGCGCGCGCGTGTGTGTAACTGTAGGTGTGTGTTCGCGCGCGCGTGTGTGTGTATGTGTAGGTGCATGCGTGCGTGCGTGTGTAGGTGTATGTGTAGGTGCGCGCATGCGTGTGTGTGTCTACCTGCACACCTGCGTGTTTACTCGGTGACTGTTTGTGTTCCGTCTGAGGGGCACAGAAGAGCGACACTCCTGTGGCGGCTGTTTACGTTGTCTTTTACCCACGCGCGCGTTAATCATCATCGTCTGCCAGGCTTCTCTTCCGCGTCACAAATCTTCCCCGTGTCTCCCACAAAGGCGGTCCCCTCTACCGCGCGCGCGGCGATCAGCGATGCACACCCCCTGGCGATGGGCGGAGGGAGGCTGCGACCGGAAGCGTGAAATTGATTAGCAACGCTGATGAGGTTTGTCATTGAAGGATGGATGCATGCGTCGTCGGCATCCTGCGCGCGTGTGTGTGTGTGTGTGGCTGCCCCGCCGGCGCGCACACTACGAAACCCGAATACGATTATGGCAGGCGGAAGTGGCAGCGGTTGCTGTGCGGGTATAGTGAGAGTGTTAGACAGGGTTAGGGCCACTTTTTAGGCATTGTTACGATACGATTAGGCAGGGCTATGACGTGGCTAGGGCAGGATTAGGACGGGGGTGGGTCGGGCTAGGGGTAAGGTTAGGGCCACAGGTTTATGGTAGGATAAGGGTAGGGTTATGCAGAGCTAGGTTAGGACTATAATAGGGTTAGTGAAGGTTAGGGCATGGTTAGGCAGGGTTACGGCACAATTCGGCAGTTTTGGTTTGGTTTAGGCAGTATTGGTTTGGTTTAGGCAGTGTTGGTTTGGTATAGGCTGGGTCAGCCAGGGTGATGGCATGGTTAGGCAGGGATAGGCATTGTTAAGCAGGATTAGGGCTTAGAGCAATACTTAGGCAAGGTTAGAGAATGGTTATGGGAGTATTAGGTATGGTTAGGGCACGGTTATGCAATATTAGACGTGGTTAGAGCGGGGTTCTAAACTTCTAATGTAGGAAAATACCGCGCAGGATCTGCGATACACCCAAAGGACCATTCTTAGTAGCCGGCGTGTTTGTTGTGCGAATGTGGGAAATAAAATAAAGTCTCTCTTTCGTCGATTTCATCTCTGACGTAAATCCCGGTTTTGTATCGTACGCGGACATTTCACGTGATTGCGCACCTTGCGCCACGAGCGCCCTCTACAGCATTCCACCTGGTACGTGGCCGCAATATAATCAGGAGTCTATCAATATATATATATATATATATATATATATATATATATATATATAATGATAATATATTGATATATATTGAATATTAATAGACTCCTGATATAATAGCAGAGGTACATGTCGTGGGAAAACAGAGCAAAAGCAGCAATCCTTTCTACGTGCCCTTTACGCGAACATACGTCGTATAGCTGTCAGTGTCAGCAGCACTCGCCGCTGTTAAGCCGCTGATGGAATTCATTAGAGACGAGGTTCTGATGGCCATTTTTAGACGTCGGCGCAGCGGGAATTATTTGGCATTTCTTATTCGGATAAATTAGCGATGCGGCTTCTCTGTGCGCATGTCTGTACGATTCTCGTGCTTTGTCATTCTACCGTGTGACGTAGAAGATTTGAACTCACGTGTATTCTCTTCTGTATAATTCTCCCCTAAAACTAGCTGTGTGTAGGGCGCTGCAACGTCTAAGCATACTTGGCTAGTTGCACGCAATATATATGGCGCAATATATTTCATTCACGCGTGTCTCGTACCAGTTGTAACACACACGCACGCACGCACGCACGCACGCACGCACGCACGCACACACGCACACACACACACACACACACACACACATATCAGCTATTCAAACTAGCGTACCTGTCACATATGTCCCCTCCGTTAATCAGAGCAGGCAGGTATAGGCTGTGACTTCGCATTCTTCCGATTCGTGCCAATTTGCCGCGTATCAGCTGCTAGCTTGAAGCGAGACGTCGCCCGCCATTGCTTCTCTAGCTGCCATTGTAATTAGTAGCAGGTATACATTCGCGATAGCGCACGAATTCTTCTCTTCAGTCGTCACAATGTCCTGTCGCATGCATTGCATCCATGTTATCGCTGTTGCTATTCAGCTTTCTGGTAAATGATATGACAACCCGGACGCTATGTTGTCCGCATATTCTCCGATGCATGTCCACAAATACAGTCATTGAAGTGCCTAATTAGGTGAAACGCCAGTTTTTCCCATGAGTGCTAGCGCATGCACCGTCATGTTTCATGTACGCACGGGCAAGCGCTCTGCGAGGCATGATATTGAACTAGCTAGATAAGTCTTTCAAACTTCAGAAGCGAATTTTATCCGTGCGGCGATTAAGTAAAGAGTGTCGGGCGCGCAGGTGTTTTGGCTCAGCGGTTGTAATCATAAGGGATATATGGGCGCAGCGGATAATTAACTGTCGGCTTTATAAACGAAGGCTTGCCCAGGTGGGCCGCGGTATTGCTCGCCTAATGTCAGCAGCGGAAATCTATGCAGGCGAGTCCACCCCCGCCCGAATCCGTCACATTACTCAGACACGCTGTGACGAATCGGAAAATACGGCTGAATCGCGAACAAACGGTTTTAATATCGCAGCGTTCACGTTACGCGAGGCGGATAAATTTAATTTGAAGAACGAGGGAAGCGCTATACGAGCGACACGGGTGATGCGCGACATATCAAACCAAGTTACTTGTGAATATGAAAAAAAACACCACAGCGTCGTAAACAATTATTCAAACGAGAGTCGTTCGTCAGGGGGAATCGGAAACACAGACGAGAGATAACATGGAACCATGCTGTTACTTGAAAATTGGCACACACAAAAAGATCAAAACGCACCACCGCTTCTTTACTGACCACACGCGTGTTTTTTGGTTATTTGTAGGCGCTTGCCGCAAAGCTGGATGGCTTAAATTCACACCTGGAGCCGAAGATCGCGATGCAGTGCGACTTTGTGAACATGCACCTGGACACGACATCGGGCGAGTGGATACCGGACAAGAACAACAAGTCGGACTGCCTCACCGAGAAAATGGACATCCTCGAGTATTGCAGAAAGGTAGGCAGGCTACTGACTGCTACTACTAACACCGTTACTATCGAGACTAAACTAACGTTACTAAGAGATGCTGACGAGTACGATAATGATTGACATCATTTATGCAATGCTGTGTAATTTTATGTGGACGCCGTTATTTACGCGTTGAATAAATGTATTGATTTTATTCCCGATGAGGCATTTCCCCCCATCTAAGTATAGACGTACTATACATATACGAATCCTACGTATAAATTATATACAATATAGCAGAAATATATTAATATAGATTAGAGACAGTCAAGCCGATTAGGTTTTGAGAATAGGCCACGACGTTGTAGAAACGAACCATGATCAGGGTGTGATGATGGTGATAGTGAAACGTCATGTAAGCAACTCGATGTTAATTCAAACACCGCCCTCTCCTCCCAGTCGCATGACAAATAAGACACGGTAATATATGCATGAAACTATTATGCATATATTCATGAGCGAATAAAAGCATAATGGTTTTTATTCATTCCTATTATGTTCAATATTTCATCTTATTATTCTTATTGTTCTTACAATTATTGTTATTTATATATCATAATATGATGTATAAATAACAATAAGTGTAAGAGTATTATAAGAGTGTAATAAGTATATTATACTCTATAAGTATGTATAGATCGTTAGGATTATAAAGACATGAGTTGCGTGTAAATGTTTATGCACGCACAGCTGACCATTCGAGACTGAAGGCCGACATACCGTGGTTCCACTCCACTCGCTCCTAGCACTGGTTACACTCACTCCTATAGCACTGGTTCCACTCACTCATAGCACCTTCCCACTGACGATGGTTGGGCCGAAGCAAGTGGAGTGAATCTACAGATGCTTACCTCTTTACCCCGCCCCCACCCACTACGGGCTCCACTCACTCGCTAAAAGCGCTGTCAGAAACCACAACATGCGCCGTGAATCGTCAATGCATTCTCTAGCCGCGAGTCAACACTCCATCTCGCTGCCTGCGGCCGCGTTCCATCACCACCACTGTCCATACACATGTCCTCCTCCTTTCTCCTCCTCCTCCTCCTCTCCCGCCGCGCCCCACGTCCCATCACCACTCTTCACGCGTGTCCTCTTCCTCTCCTCCTCCTCCTTCTCCTTCCTCCTCCTTCTCCCCCGCCGCGCCCCACCTCCAATCACCACTCTTCACGCGTGTTCTGCTCCCCCCTCCTCCTCCTCCTCCTCCTCCTCCCCCCGCGTTCTATCACCACTGTTCATACATGTCCTCCTTCCTCTCCCTCCCCCGCCACATCCCCATGCACGACCACATCACCTCTATTCACACGTGTCCTCCTCCTTCCTCCTCCTCCGCCGCCGCACCCCCGCAACCCCACGGCCGCGTCTCATCGCCACTGTTCACCACACATGTTCTCCTCCCCTCTTCCTCCTTCTCCTCCTCCTCCTCCTCCTCCTCCTCCTCCCCCC